GTAATATTATTATATCTATTAATATTTGTTACAATAATTTACTTATCACTGAAAAAATTAATTGTAAATTTTTTATGTACCTAAAAAAGTTATTGTGCAAAATCGCCCAAAATTTGCATATTTTTTAATTATTTCAAGTTCATTCACATCTTTCAAAGTATTCCAATCATTTTGAACCAATTCCATGAGTCTCTTTATCTATAATCATGGTTGTTTAAACAAATATAATTGATAAATATAAGAATCAATTTTTTCCGAGCGCTCTTATTTACTCTCAGATAAATCAACGGACAAATAGTTATAGGAGTATTGTAAAAAATTAATAAAAGTAATATATTCTTATTTTACAGAAAATATTTTGAAAATATAATATATGAATTACATATAATATATGAAAATATAATATAAATATGAAAATATATGTGGATATTAAAAGACATCAAAATAAAATTAGTTTGCGTACTTACACTCGTAGGAAGTATTAAAAAAGTAATGTATTTAATCAAAACAATACAAATAGGAATGAAGATTGACAAAACTCTTAGTATAAGTACCACTTCGAATTTCGATGTAATCATCTTTGTAATCTATAAGTGATATGTTTTTAGCAAGCATAAGACAACGATCGAACAAAATTTATTTGTCAAATAAAGAGTTATTGTGACAAGTAGTTGATAAGAATCACGGATTTTTCAAGAAAGTATATGACTAAATTAGAAGTTTAACTATAATTGTAAGAAACAGATAAACTGATTTCGGTCAAGGCATCTTTTATGCATTGTATGTAGAAGTTCTAAAAAAAACATTTATTCAATTTAAACATTCATTCTGATCGTACCATTATGGTGATACCTGAGATTATAAAACTTAATGATATCAACATTATAACTCGTTTAAATGTTGAATCATCGTATGGCCACAAACCAATTGATAACAAAAGCATGCGATTCAACTCGTAATATTTGTGTCCACTAAAATCCATTTTCGACAACGGTCAAAACTGTTCTGAGAGAAAAGGCGAAAAGGCATGTGAAAAAAGAAAATGTGCTATAACACTATAGTTCACAGTTTCTTTTCTTTTAATTTTTCATAATATGTAGCTATCTTTATGCTTCACAATACTGTAGCTTTCATTTCAAATTGTTTAGGTAATATTATCATTTATAATTCATTAATGCATTAGACTATTGAGAAAGAGAGAAATTTAGATGGCTAATATTTATAGCATTTTTCTTGTCTCTGCATTCTATGCCTCTACCTTTAATTTTCTTGGTATTATCTCCCTCCAAGTCGACGCAAGTTCGATCTTTGATTGGTATGTTACACTTTTATTCGGGCAGTCAGACAGTTCGTTTCACACTTTGCTATAGTTATGTCATAAGATTACAATACAGTGAATACAATGGTGTATTATAACATCTATAAACTTAAGGCCTTCTCGTTAAACAATGTACGATTCCTTTATTAGTTTATATAAAAATTGAAGCTACATATATCGAGATAATAATAAATTAAGAACAGATGCTATGCACTATAATAAAATAATAGTAAGTAAAACTGAAGAATATTTTCGTCTAAAATATTTACAATTTGATGAAATAATGTACATTTATAAATGAACATTTAACTATAAAGATATCATAACTATTAGTACATATTATATTACAAACAGAAGTATTAAACGGATGTTATTGATGTGGAATTATTTATTATTAACTGTTATATTTCAGTGATATTTTTTATTATTATTAAAATGTAACAAATTAAAATCAAAATGTTTTGTGAGCATTTCATTACATAATTATTTTTTCTATGAATTCAAAGTTGTGACTACATTTTATATTATAAACTTTTCTTATTAATAGCATTACTTCTGTACCGACCAGAGTACCGTAAAATACGACAGGGTCGTGCTCATAAGCTGAAATTGAAAATTCAGGTTATAGCAAGAAAATTGTACAGTGCAATTTATAAAATTTTACACTCGTTTAGGATAGTCATTCCTGAGGTCATTGAAGCAAAAAATGTATAAATGGAAACTGATTTAATATTAAAGACTTATACTAATTTGAAAATTGGAGAAATTCGATCATCTTATATTTTCATTTAATTCTATTTTATCGATAGTATACAGGGTGAATTACAACATTTGTGCCAGAGCTCGTGAGAAGGTAGAACGGATCGAGATGAACAGAAAAGTCCTGAACCATTTGCAATTTTCGCAATAGTTAACGAGTAATAAATTATCGAAAATCGTCGTCTTTGCCCTGCCCACTGTCCAATTCGAGCGCGTGGCGAGATGTGACCGCACGGCGATCGATATTGCCAGGCGAGGGCGGGGGGGGGGGACAGCGCGCAGTTGCCGGCGAGCTTACGTCGCCGCTCCCGCGTCT